CACCTGTAGCATTAGTCTGGTTTATAAATTCCCTGGTGTAGCACGTGGAATGTTCCTACATCCACAGGACAGCTCAGAGTCAGTGGAGATGTACAGAGAGAGATAAAGAGGTTCTTGTTCAATCCCAACCTCTAAATGATAATAAATCATTTGGGTTTCCATGGCACCCGTCCAGAAAAGTTGAGACTGAAGTAGCTGATCTGCTAACAAAAAAAAATGCGTGCTTTTCAATGATAAATTATAATTTCTACAGTGGAGGCACTGGAAGAAGGCCAGATCCATATCAATCCTTTCAAAATGAACTAATGGTTCTCCCAAGACTCCCAGTCCCTCCTCACACTACCAGGAAAAAGCACAGATCCTTAGGGAATGCAGTAAAACCTCTTGATGAATATAATATGCAAAGGGTGAGCCAGCATGAGTCTGCCAAAAAAAAAAAAAAAAAAAAAAAAAAAAAAAAAAAACCAAAAAAAAAAAAAAAAAAAAAAAAAAACCAAAAAAAACAACCAAACAAACAAAAAAACCTAACCTATCCTGTCCTAAATAATCAGAACTTACTGAAAGGAGAAACAAAGTAATGGCAGTAGGGATAGGCTCTCCAAGGAGCTTGGTCTTAAGTGCCCCAGAAGAGTATTAACCCTTGGAGCAGGAAACACTTTCAGCACTCACTTTCAATTACTGCACCCAGGGACTGCTGAGCCTCTTTGCCTCTGGATTCCCCATTCCCACAACCAGATAAACACACACGGCTGCCTCTTCCCATCTCTGCCTGCTCACTAGGATACTCTCTTCCTTCCATCTCCTGTAATCTGTGAGTAAAACCAAGGAATACCTGCCTGAAAGGTTACCACCAGCTCTGCAAGTAAAACCCCCGTGCAACAAAATGGGACTAAGTCCCTAAAACCACAGTGCAGCCTTGCTGATTTTTTCCCCCTCTTGTTTGATTTCTGAGCAGTCGTTCACGACAGGGTTTTAACAGCCCTGGAGTACTCGGTGCTGCATCACTTACAGGATGTGAGGGGTATTGATCTCTCCACGTTTATCCTTCTAAATGGTTCCCATCAAGTGCCGGGAAGTCAACCAGTTTGAGATGTGTAGCTCATCTACAAAACTCAGGATGACACAATTGAGTTTGCTCAGAAAATGGGGGTTTATTTGGGTTTTTTTTTTCAGAGGGAACTTGAGTGTGCCTGTAGTCATTAAAACATGATGTTTGCACGCCTTTAAAAATCATTTTATAGCTGTACTGAGTGTCTCCAAACATTAAATATGTTTTATAAGTAGCTGGCTAACTAGCTGGGTGTGCTGTAAAGGCAGTAGTAAATAAAACAATAAGGTACTAAATATCAGCTGTATTTCATTGTCAGGGATACTTTTTCAGCCATGCAGCAATTCCCAACATTGAAAACCTTGATTTTTGTTTTTCATGCTACATTGTGACTAGAATTACACCTAATCTCTTAATGTTATGCTAAATACCTCTCACCTGTTAATGTGACTACCCTCTCATAAAGTGAACGTGACTAATATTGAGCAGGTAGAAGCATTTTCTGAGGCTGGAAATTCACTTCCCAGGCTTGTACATTCAGTAATGTTGTTTAAACTGATGCTACTTAGTTTAGGTCCAGGTGACACTAGAAATCCATTTGTTGTCACTGTAGGATTGCAAATACTGAGGTGGCTTTTGTCTCACCAAACTCCCAGGACAGAGGTGATTTTCCTGGCAAACTTTTGTCACACAGCTGGAGAAATGTGTGGTTTGTAGTTGGTATAAAGAGCATCTGCAAGGAGAAGGGGAACTGGGGGACTGCTATGGGCAGCTGTTCAGCTGGACCCTTCCTAAATTTTTATGTTTATGGCACAGCAGAGGTCAGAAACAGAACTATGCCCTTCACCCATCTCTGTGCCTCTGAAATCTGCTGGCTTAAAACAAGTGTTCATAAGGAATGGGAAAAAGAGAGAATAAAGAAAAGAGAACAAAAGGGAAAATATCACCTAGTTGTTTTGTTTTTTTTCAATTTTCTGTAAGTATTTCAGTATCCTCCCTTGTATTACCACAGGGTAGGATGAGATCTTGGCAGGCTAAGGCACATTCCTCAGGGCTGTACTTCTGCCCATTGCAGTGCCCAGCCTGTGGAACAGGACATCCAGATGGAACAAAGCCCATTATTGGCAGGAGGAGCCTTTCTGGCCCCTGCACCTACACTGAGCATTTCCTCTTTGGCCATCAGATACCTGGTGGTAAAAAACCCCTGCCCATGAGGGAATCCCAACCCAGCTGCCCAAAACAACTCAAAAACGTGAAGCAATTTTGGCAATCCTTCTACAGACAATTTTCATTTAAAATCATTGAATTGTTACATTTGGAAAGGGCCTCTAAGATCCTCCCGAGCCAAATGAGATCCCAGGACCCTGAGTGCCACATCCTCCAAATCCCTCCAGGGATGGTGACTCCACCACTGCCCTGGACAGCCTGTTGGAGTGCTCAACAGCCCTTTGGGAGAAGAAATATTTTCTAACATCTGATCCAAACCTCCTCTGGTGCAACCTGGGGCTGTCTCCTCATGTCCTGTTATTGTCACATCAGAGAAGAGACCGACCCCCACCTCACTGCGACCTCCTTCCATGGAATTGTAGAGCTGTAGGTCCACCTGGAGCCCCCTGTTCTCCATGGTGAGCACTCCCAGCTGTCTCTGCCCTTCCTCATCAGACTGGTGCTCCAGGCCCTTCCAAGTGGCCACCAACCAGTGCTGCTTCTTCCAGTATCAAATGTACTCTTGCCTTCCCAAAAATGAAGAATTTAGTTCACTTTGCACTGCTGTACAGATAAAAATATTATTCAGATGGACATTTACTAGAAGCCAGGAGGATGAGCTGGGGCAGGAGAGCAGGATTTGACACCTGGCCACCAAAGCACCCACTGAACATGACACTGGTGTGGCTAAATGTGGCTAAAATGTGCCAGCTCTGCTGTCAGGATGAGCTCTGTGCTCCTGGGATGAGTCCCAGCACAGCACTGCTGAGCTGCCCTGTCACAGAGCTCTGCTGCTGCTGAAGCCCATCCATTAATCAAAAGGGTAGGACTGAAACCAGGACGGAGACATGACTGCAGAGTGCCTGGTATCTGAGATCAATATTAATTTTACAAACCTCTCCAGAAGAGTTCTTTAATTAATTGTTGGAATTAAAATCAAAATTGACCCCTCAATTTGTTTCTGTGGCCTTTGAATCAATTTTCTTTTCTTTACAAATCATAATTTTCAGACTGGAGAATGAAACAACACTCTCTTTTTTTTTTTTTAATTAAGTATAAAAAAAAAGGTACCCACACTCTGAATATATTCTAAGCAGGACTCACAGTCAGCATCTCCATTTAATCTAAAAGAGGGGAAATATGTGTGGCTCATCCCCAAACCAAAAAAGTCCCGTCTTATGCACCTGTGTACCTGCCACAGCTTCACACTTTTGCAGAATTTAATCTCAAGGCAAGAAAGAGTGAAAATAGGATTCAGGGGGGTTTGCTTAATGTCACTGACCTCCCAGTTTGTGCAGGCTGCAATTTCCCAAGCTCTCAATATGGGTTTTGTAACCTACCTGCTATCCTTTTTTCACACACTGTTCCCATTATTTTGCTTTCCAAGAATTGCTAAAAATCCCAAATTAGACAAAAGGGTGTTGTTTTCCTCAGAGCTGGCACACTGAGTGCACCTTCCCAGTATTTCACAGCTTGGTCCTTACTTGGCATTTTTCCCTGGGAGTGCAAGCAGCTCCCTCCAGCCAGCTGGGAATGCTCTCTCACGATGATCCCCTGTGCTGCAGACCCAAAACTGGATCAAGCCATTTATTTCCCACCCAGTGCACCCCAGCCTGGAGAATTACCTGTAGAGCCCCACTCAGCATGGCCAGGATGGTCTCCAGGGGTGTCCTGAGAGCAGGAGCAGCCTCTGCTGGATCACACACTGCTGGATCACAGCCTGACAGCACCGTGAAACTTCCCTGCTGACCTCCAGGAGCAGCTGGATCACGAGCTGTCTGCTCTACACAGGGCCAAGGCATCCAAAAGCCACCTACAACCCAGGATGAAAGGCATGTGAGCTCAACACAAAGCATTTTCCTCTGCAGGAGTGTCACCTGGCAGAAAGATCGTTGCAAAACAGTCTCTTGGATTTTGAGGAGATTATTCAGAACAACTTCGTTGCACTTCCTCGCTGCGATTAAGTGAATTAGTCAGTAAACAGACACATATTTTCCAAGACACATAAAACTTTCCAAGGCTGCAGTGGGGATGCCAAGTGGACTCTGAAGACACCTGGGCAGGTAGAACCAAGTCACCTTGCACCTGCCCAGGCACCACAAAGAAGGGCAGTGAGACTGGGCAGATATTATGTCTGCATTTTAATGGCACACTCCCGTGCAGTTTTTACAAATTGGTAGCTCTGCACGGCATTCACAGATGAATACCATCTGGTGTGCTGATTTATTGCCCTGAATTTCTCAAGTTACTTTTTTTTTCCTTTTCTCATCTTACCTTTTCCTTATATTTTCCCTCTACAAAAACATTTTCCATAGAAATGCAGTTGAGAGAGGCATTTCCCTAACATGCTGTTTTATCTTAAGATGAACAGCAGCCTGTCACTGGACAGACCAACAAACAACTGATGTATGGGATCTATTTAATACCTCTGCAACTCCAGAGCCCTTCTGATCATATAGGCTGCTCTTTTCCAATAAGACATGCTTATAATAGGTCATATAGAAAAATAAATATATGATGTTTGCATTAAGGAACGTGTTTCAATGCACATGCACAGGGAGAAAGAAAATGGGTTGTACAAACACCCCTGACCTGGTCCCTCCCACCTGTCTGATGACAGATCTGGAAGAATAATGAAAACTTACTTTGTAACGTTGTTCATTGTCTCTTTGACTGTAATTTTAGTCTAATCTTCCTAACTTGAACACTGTATTTCCAGCTGACATCTCTCAGTGTATATGATGTCCATCACCATTGCTGCCAAGTTCTCCAAGTTCTCTTAAATTGACTTTTCCTTCTTTTTCCAGCCTGCAATCATACAAGGAACAGACTCTAACCTATCTGTGTAATTGTTTTTAGACATCTCTTCAGACACATATTTAAACCTCTCTACACATCCAAATCACCCTTTTTACTCACTAGGAGGAAAAGTTTCTCTCGTTTAAATAAGTTTGACTGAATGGAAACCAGACTGCAGATTGTCTGTCCTTTTACTCTTATGAAAGCATAATTAAAAGTCATGTTAAAGTTGGGAGATCAAGAGGGTTTGTGATAACAGCTTAGATAACAAGCTAGGAGCTGTCAAAGCTGTCAGGCCATTAAGAAACTAAATAATTCACACCCCAGTAATTGCTTTTATGTGCATTTTCCTATAAAATCCAGGAGAAATGAGTCACAGGGCGTTAAAAAAGAGCCTTTTTTATCAGCATCCAATACACCATACTGCACGTTTACTTCCAGGGAGTTTTTGCCATAATTCAAAAGTTTTAGTATCATTCTCTGAACATTTAAAGCCAGTGAAAGCAGCACTCGGTGCCACTGCAGTGTGCCTGGCTCCTCCCCGTCCCCCTCCCACTCCTGAGGCCAGGCTGTGCCCACATCCCCCTGGGCAGCAGCAGATTCAGTTCTGGTCACCTGTACCACGCTAGGAAATTCTGGCTCTGCAAAACAGCACGGCATGGCTTTTCTTCCTCCCACCCAACGCTGAGGTTCCTTTGGTCTTTTTAAGCTATTAAGAAATCACCCAACCAAAACCTGTGGAGTGGTCCAGGTCCCCTCCGAAGTGCTGCTTGCACCCAGGAAGCCGCAGTGATGTGTGCAGGGTGCCACTGCCACTAAGCATCAGTGCCACGTGTCCAGCGCAAGGAGGATCGATGCCACCTGCTTCTCCAAAACAGGAATTTTGGGAAGGGCTGGGGGAAAACGGGTCTCTTTTACAGCGGATTACTGGCAGCATTTCTGCAGGAGCTGGTTGTGGGACAGTCCCCGGTGTGGGAGAGGGCACGGGAACCTCTGCGCTGCCCCATCTCTCCGGCAGAGTTCGGCCACTAGATGCCCCTGCAAGCCGCGCAGTCTGCGGGGCAGCGCCGGCTGCCGCAGCAGGAGACAAAGCTGAGGCAAAGCCCAAGGAAAAGATGGAGTCTGTTCCTTGCCAGGGCTTTTGGCAGCAAGTGTCACCTCTGTAACCAGCACTGCCGCGTTATAGCAAGGGACACGGGACGGCCCAGAGTGGTGATGGATCATCATCATCGTCATCATCATCATCATCATCGACCACCTCATCCCTGGAATCATTCCCGGTCAGGTTGGACTGGGCTCGGAGCAGCCCGGTCTGGTTGGAGATGGTATTGGACTAGATGGCCTTCAGAGGTCTGTTCCAGCACAGACTAATGCATGATTCCATGGGGGTGCAAAAGGGCTTCGGAACCAACCCAAAACCCAATGGGCCTTGCTCTGCCCCTGTGCCAGTGCACATCTCCTTTTGCACTGGCCACTTTACAGTGCAGAAGAGCCACACAGGGAGACAGAAAAATCCAACAAATGCTGCAAAAGGCTTCAGATATCCTTTCTTGCATGGTGTAGCATCAACCCATTCCCACAGATGCTCTGCCCAGGGAGTGGGATGTCATCACAGGGGCTGATTATTGCTCCCAGCTCAATGCTTCTCAGGCCCCCATATATTTTACGTACCATTAGCAGGGTAACGAAGTCCCTTCAGCTTTTGCATTCATCTTTCCTTCATGAGGAATTACTGGCTCCTCGCTACAGAGGGAAAAGAAAGGAAAAGCAAGCTTACACCTGTGTGCACAGGTACTTCTGGCCCTAGGTGCTGTCACTTTGAGGAGTGAGGCACTCAGGTTTGGTGCAGCTGTGGCCATGACCAAGGTCAAACCAAGAGCAGGGATGGAACACGTTACCTTCACAAAGCCTGTTTTGGTGGGGATCTTGGGTTTCATCTTTTCGGCGGTGCTGTTTTCTTCTTCAATGGCTTTGCAGGTCTCTGTTTCTTGCCGAGATTGTCCAAACCCTGCGTGTCCTTGTGGGTGGGGCAGGCATGGGTTTCTGGGAGCCCTGGGAGTGAGGGAGCTCCGGGAGCTGCAGCTCCATGGAGGGGCTGGCCAGGAAGCACCTCCTGATCCCCTTGGGCTCTCCTGCTCTGCCCACGCTGCTCCTGGCAGGATCATTCATTTCCCACAGTCCCACGCCTGGAGTCGCTCTGTGGCACTCGGTGGCACTGTGTGTGCATTGTGTCCTTGTCCCCAGCACCTTGTCCCTCGTCCTCTGCTACCTGTGGGAGCACGGCCACGTCTCCCCAACGCAGGAGGGTGGCAGGGGACACGCCACAGGGACCCCACGCCATGCCCCCCAGTCTGTCCCTGCCAGCACCGTGGGCCCCGTCACCCTCCTTGGCTCACTGCCCCCTCCGCAACACAGCCTCGTGTAAATATTTGCCAAAAATAGATCCTCGTGATAAGAGAGCCAGAGGCTGCTCAGGGTGACTGCAGAGGATTAGGGTGTCTGGGCAGGGATGGGCGCTACGGGAGGCTGTTTCCATGGGGAGCAGGAATCCGGCTCCGCTGGTGGCCGCAGGAGCCCGGGGATCCCAATCACGGAGCCGCTCGGAGCCACTCAAAGGGATCCTCTCAAAGGGATCCTCTCAAAGGGATCCTGCTCAAAGGGATCCTCCCAAAGGGATCCTGCTCAAAGGGATCCTGCTCAAAGGGATTCTACTCAAAGNCAAAGGGATCCTGCTCAAAGGGATTCTACTCAAAGGGATCCTCTCAAAGGGATAATCTCAAAGGGATCCTCTCAAAGGGATCCTCTCAAAGGGATCCTGCTCAAAGGGATCCCCTCAAATGGATCCCCTCAAAGGGATCCCCTCAAATGGATCCCCTCAAAGGGATCCCCTCAAATGGATCCCCTCAAAGGGATCCCTTCAAAAGGGTCCTCCCAAAGGGATCCTCCCAAAGGGATCCCTTCAAAGGGATCATCCCAAAGGGATCCTGCTCAAAGGGATCCCTTCAAAAGGATCATCCCAAAGGGATCCTCCCAAAGGGATCCTGCTCAAAGGGATCCTCTCAAAGGGATCCTGCTCAAAG